ATATTCATAAGGAAACACAGCAGCACAATGTGTATTTGACCTTCTACTTTTGGTGGAATATGCGTAATGTTATATCTTAATACGGATAGATTTACTTTCTCTTTGTGTGTGTGTCTGTGTGTGTGTGGGGGGTTATATGTATGTTTATGTGTGTCTTTATGTGTGTGTGTTACCCTGCTGCACCTCCAGATCGGCCCTAAGTGGAAGGACGTGGTGTCTCGCTGTATCAAAGGCCACTATCAGCCCCTGCTGCTGCTCTACGCTGACCCCCGTGGGACGCCGGTGATACTGCAGGAGAGCCCCAACCCCTGTACCAGCTCCAACCCGCAGCTGGAGCTCCAGCACTGCAGCAGCAAGGCTGGTTACGACAGCGAAGACTCTGGTACAGCAAAGATGACACACTCTGCTACAGATCAGATCAGATTATTCTGTGTTTATCGTTGAGGGCATGTGAGGTTACAGCTTTAAAGCTCTGACCTTCAACCCTATAATCCAACTTCTGCATCTGCGTACTGCAGAGCCTGAAGTTATTTGACTGCAAACATATGAAGATTCAGGATTAACTAAAAGGTTATCACTCTTTCTCTCATTCTTTCTCAGGTCGGGAGCCGTCCATATCCAGTGACACTCGTACCGACTCTTCGACGGACAGCTCGAGTCACCGTGCCTCTCGCAGCCGATCTCTCCACCAGTCCACGGGCAGCCACCTCTCCAGCGAATCCCAGACCACAGTGGTCTGTAATTACGACATTGGCACACCGCCGCACGGTGCTGACGCCGGAGGTAATACTGCATTCGAGTCCATGAGCAAAGTTATCTATACTCACAAAGTCCAGCTGCACCTTGACAGCTCCAAAAAACTGCAACTACACAAGTGACCGCAGTGTTTTAAGGGAGAAAGTACTAAACTGCGGTACTTGTTGTAGGCACAAGTAAGAGCAAATAAGGTCAGTTTAAGTGGAAATTAAGTTCTTTGTCCTGTGCTTCATCACTGCGCTGTGTTACTGGTTATTCTTATATTTACTTGCACTGCTGCCTACTTAATTGCTCCCTGTGGGGTAAATAAAATATTAATGGATTAACTTTCAGTCCCTCTTCTCTCACATTCAGAGTCAGCAGTGGAGGGTCCTCCCCGCCCTCCCTCTCCTCCCTTGCCGGAGTACAAGGAGACCGCTGTTTTCCTCCTCTCCTCACGCCGGCCACTCACCTCCTCTTCCTCCTCGTCTCGTCCCCTGTCCTCCTCCTCTTCGTCAGGAGTTGGGGGCTGCGAGGGCGGAGTTGGGGGCCCCCATTGGGAGGATGAAAGCACTAGCAGTGAAAGCAAATCCAGGTACTGCACCACAATTGTACTTAAGTTCAGTACATGAGTACATTTACTGGTTCTTGAACTGGAGTATTAGTCATGCTACCATTTATAAATTTAAAAAAAAAAAGATTTCAATTAAGGTTGAGTGTAACTAATTCATCTCTCAGTTTGTGTCAAGCTTGATCAGATTTGTTCTAGAGCTTCGTATGAGGAGAACTTGAATGCATATTGTTGGTGCAATAAATGGTTAAAAGCTTCGTGTGAGTGTCCTGACTGAACTGTATTTAAGTCATTTTGTAGGTCAGGTATTTTTATTTAACTACCCTCTAAAATGAGTCATTCTACTGTCTTAAAGAAGATTTGCACCTTTTGAGCAGTTTTCAACAGTAAGGTAACCCTGTGTAACATCTTCCTCCCTTGCTCTCTAGTTCTTCTGGGGGCCGCTACAGGCCAACCTGGAGGCCCAGGAGAGAGGCCTTAAACATCGACAGCATCTTCACCCGACCGAGAGGCTCCTCTCTGGGCTACAACACCCTGCCTGGTCCCTCTCTCCCTCCGGAGCCCCAGGACTCCTTCCCCCTGGTGGGACCCACTCCGCCCACACAGCCAGGGTTACAAGAGGTGGAAGGGAGGGAAGTTGGGGAGTTGGAGGTGGGGTTTGGGCTGGTCGGGCAGCCCAGGTCTCTGGGCAGTGGGCGGACAATGGGTCCCCCTGCCCCTCCACCTCTGAGAGGGGTGGAGCACCAGCCACGTCTGATTCAGAGGATGGAGAGTGGCTACGAGAGCAGCGAGAGGAACAGCAGCAGCCCCGACAGGTAGGAAACTCACAAATACCAATTACTGTCTCTTCCTTTCTCTCTCAGTCATTCATTGTTTTCCCCTCTCTTGGTTTCTCTGTCACTCTTGTTTTTCCGTTCAATTTCACTTAATCAGCATGAAACACAGATGTGACGTTAACAACGACAAATTGTCCAGCAATAGTTCAACTAATCAATCAGTGGACATATTTGTCTGGAGATGTATGATTGGCACTCTCAACATTTTCCCCTTTTTGTCTCTTTTTACTGCTTTCTTTTCTCACTGTCTTTTTTTCTTGCTCTCCACAGGGAGGTGGGGCAACAGAAACGGGTGCTCATGTCAGGACCTTCGTGGCGTTCGGTGCCCAAGTCTAAGAGCAGTGGTGCCATCCTGCAGGAGCTGCCTTCCCCCAGCTGGGGTGGCGGCACCAATGCAGGTGTGTATTTGTGCATTTCTTGCAATTACTCTACTCTAACTACTGTAACTTGCGTTTGATTTGATGATTTCATTTGTGTTGTCTGTTTAGGCTCAGGGCGCAGTGAGCTGGACGAACTGCAGGAGGAGGTGGCGAGGAGAGCCCGCCAGCAGGAGCAGCAGAAGCGGAGAGAGGCGGAGCGGGAGGCGGCCATGGGATTCAACCCTAAACCCAGCAAATTTATGGACCTGGACCAGCTCCAACACCAGGGTATGAAGGAAACAGGGGTGACAGGACGAAAGACAGGAAGTAGGAGTGAGGGGGTTGGAGGCTGGAAGTTTTTAAATTAGAGCCAAAGAAGTCAGTTCACCCAACTTACAGCAAACATATTATCTCACTTACCTTTAGTGGTATCTAGTGATGCAGACAGTTTAGATTTTTTTTTTTGAAAGATTTTATAATTTCACTTCCATTAAATGGATAGGAATATAATTACATTTTTGATTCTTACAGCAGTTCATAGGAACTATTTCTTTGCTGAAAATGACTTCACTATCTGCGTGGCCACATACCAGAATTAGTGAGTGAGAAAATGTGTTTCCTTTTTGTAAATTTGTGTGAACTGGCCCTTTAAGAAGAAGGTCAAACTGCATTTAAAGCTGCACGTGGCAACTTTGTATGTTTTAAACCCCATATAGCAAAGAACCATCACTGACTTATTAGACAATTCTGGATTTCTGTTTTAATTTTCACTTACAAAAGCAGAACCAGAGTAAATCTATGGTACTTCAACTGGAGGGGTGTGAGGCTGCCTTTTCGCTGTGCGTCATTTCATGATCCGGGCTGATGAAGTGTATTTTTATGTTAAAGTCTTGCCCGGTGCAGCTTTAAGGTCACATTATCACCTGTTGTCTAGTTCAGCAGTCACAGTGACTTGTACGTCCGTGGTTCTGTCTGACCTCCTCTTTGTCCTCATTCCCATCTGTTCGTCTGTCTCTCCATCTGTCTCCCTCCATCGGTACTTTTTATTTGTCTATTAGTTCAGAGTGCGTAACTATAACTCATACTGTATATATATTGGGTGAGTGTTTTATGTCAGAGTAAGTGTGTGTGTTTCAGTTCCAGCCGAACTATCGCTGAGTTCAGTGTAGGTGAACAGAGCAGAGAGCAAATCCCTGTCAGATCAGTTTTTACCAGCATGGAAACTCCTGTGGGACGTTTACTGACCGCCACTGACTGGGAAACTCTCTCAGGGTGATTCCCACTTAAAATCACAATCCCAGTCCAAGTGCCGACCTCTGATGTCCCAGCAACACTATGGGGAGTTCACAATGTGTGTGTGTGTATGTGAGTTTCTTAGTTCACAAAAATATTGTGAATAAGTGTAAGTGTGTGTACCCCTCTATGGTTATTTACATCTAAATATATACAAACATGTCATGTATGTACCTGTATGTACAGTGCATCTTTTTAGTGTATGTAAGATTGTGAGATGGAGACTTCAGACTTGGACTCAAGTCATAGTTAAAGGCGAACTCTACCAGTTTTACATATCAAAGTCAATTAGCTTATCTGTGGCTCTGCAGGAGCTTTGTCAATTCCGGCGTAATTACCCAATTTACACCACGTTAGCAATTTCATTTAGGGCTTAGGGACTAGAAATTTACATGACAAAGATTTAGGCACATGTGCAAGGAATTAATTGGTCCAGGCTAAAATAGCTCAACAACTATTGGATGTATTGTCATGACATTTTATATATACATTCATGGCTCCAAAAGGATCAATCCTACGGACACTCGCACATTTCCTCTAGTGCCATCATTAAGTCAACATTTTACTTTGTCTAATACTTTGGTTTATGACCAAATACCTGTAAAACTAATTATTGTACTTTGTGTTTAAGCCTAATTAGCAAATGTTAACATCCTAACACATTAAGCTATTTTCTGTTCATTATATACCTAATAAACCTCAGCATGTCCGCATTGTCATTGTGAGCATTTTACCATGCTGACATTAGCATTTAGCTCAAACCACAGCTGCGCCTAAGTACAGCCCCACAGAGCCGCTAGTAAGTCCCCAAACCATATGGACTTGGAGAACTTGCTCAAGTCACAATCAGTACATGAGACTTGACTTGAACTTGATTGCTGTGAGAGTTGACATATTTTATTTAAAATTTTAACCAAGAAAAGGAACAAACAGTAAATAAATAAGACATTGCACAGCCACTCACCTGTTATTAATTGAAAGGATCTCTGGACTTGACTTGGACATGGCCTAAATCACACAAGACTTGACTGACAGACTTCACACTTGGTTGAAAGCTCTGGTGCGGTATTATCTATATTCATATATATATATGTGTGCGTATATTAGGTCTGTCCATGCAACCACAAATTACATTTTTCTGTGCGTGTGTTTCAGAAAATATGTCTGTGTGTAAGAAAGAGAGCCTTGTATGAACTGCAGGTGTGCAGGTTTTCCCCTCCAGCTCAGCACTAACTAAATCTATATCAGGGATTATAATGTTGTGTCCTGTCTGTCCTACTGTGTGTGCTTTAGTGTGTTCAGCCTCATGTACCTGACACACACACACACATACACACACACCCCTGTGAGTACACTCAACCTTGATGAAGTGAAAGGACGACTTGCGAAAGAACAGATGGCATCACTATCAGTGCGATTACGTAACAGAATTTGGTTTCCCACATCCCTATCGATGGTTTTAGGCGGACTCCAAACAATCTGCCTCAGTGTTTTAGAGGACGTTACAGCCAACAACAACAACAACAGAGCTGCCATCAACCTTCCTTTATTCTGTCTCTATCAATCAAAAGTTTGTAAACTCAAGCCAAGATGGGTGATGGCTGCTCTTTTGTTGTCCTCTTCTTCATCTTTTTTACAACCAACTAACACCATTCAAGGCACGTTCACAAGGCTACGCACCATACAAAGCTTTGTCTAAAAAAGCTGGCTGGTGTCTGGCTTCATGAACGTAGCCTCAACTTTGCTCCTCACTTATCTAATCTTGACTTTTTTGACTTACTAACTACAGTACAAGTTAACATATTGATGCATTTACAATAGAATTGCAAAGTGGGAAGAGATGCTGGGTGTGGAGGTATTTTTCTCCACTATACAGTCTTTCTATTTCCTATACATTTTCTTCAAATGATATCGTCAGTGTGTGCCAACATAAAAACACAGGGGACTCCTCTGAGACAGTATAACATTTGCTTAACAGCAGCCATTTTGCCACAAGTAGAAATTGCATAATAATGGTAAATGGTAAAGCATACAATAACAGTACAGTAGCACAGATAGACTCAATAATGTCTGTTATACATCAATATTAAGTTTGCTAAGATTAGCCAAGCTACTGGTCATACCTAAGGCTTTAGCACCTGAGTGTATTAAATTGACCAAATTTCAATAAGAGAATAAATGTGCAATTTTATCTCAACATAATCTAGTTTTAAAGATACAGGAAGTTGGCCATTGTTTAGCTTTAATTATTTCACAGAAATAGGGTTATTTTAATCAGTTTGGTGTGGTGAATGGTGTGAAATACTCCCATATGAGAGCTGGAGCAAATGTGGAATAAAATACCACACCATAGTTACTACATGCATCTAAAACTTACCCTGAATATAAAACATTAACTGAATGTTTTGCTTTTAGCTATAGCTCTGTGATTGGAGCAAAATGGGAGTTGTAGTTGACTTCAATCCTTTTTATGTACACATTCTTGTACATTGACTTTATATTATAAATATATTTTCTAACCAGTTGCTAATATCTTTAATGATTTTAACCAATCCAAACAAGTTCTTTAACTGTCAGTCACCTAACAAAGAGGACGCCCGAAATAAATCCTCCCACTTTGCAGCTCTATACATGTATAAAATACACACATTAACTTACAGTAAAGGAGCGTAATGCATGCCAACCCCCTCATAACCACTCCTTCTGCTCTGCTTCTATTTTCTCCTCTTCACCTGTTCTTACATCTTCATATTTTGTCCCTTTTTTCATCTTTTTTATTCTCTTTCTTTCTTCTTTGTTGTTTCCTTTCCTTTTCCGTTTCCCTCGCTCTTTCTCTCTCTGCCACTCTGTCGTTATACCTTTCTGTCTTTTTCTCCTTTTTATCTCCCGCTCTGTTGTTAACATCCTCAGCTGTGCTCAGACCCCTGCATGAGGCTAACGCTCATAGCGGATTGGCTGTAGCTGCGTGCATGAGGAGCACTGGGGGCCCAATCAAACGCAGACAGGAACAGGAAATGGAACGGGAGACAGGAAGCGCCCCCCCACAGGGGCCTCGCAGGTACCACCACTGTCCCCCCTTATGTGTCCGCAGCGGTGCCTGTCTGAAAACCACCTCAGACCCCCTTCCTCCCTACCTCCCTCCCTCACTTCGTGTGTGTCCTCAGCTCAGGCTGTCCTTAAACCCACAGCAGGAATCCTCTGTGTGTGTCCTCTGGGTGCTGGCTTTCTAAAAACACCTCAACACCCTCATGTGTGTGTCTTCAGCTCTGGCTGCCCAAAATCCCAGAACCCTATGTTTTTTTTGTAAAGCCTAGCACTGCACTCTCACATCCTGCTGTATGTGTGTACGTGTGTCTGTATCTGCGTGTGTTCTCAAACACACACACTCGACTATATACAGTAACGTCTTATCCCCTTTGTGTTTGTGTGTTTGTTGCAGTGCAGTAAAAAACCTGCTTTGCTGGGCTCTGTGTTGCCATCGAGAATAAAAAGAGAGAGACAGAGTTGCTCCCTGCTTTTCCGTGCTTCACTGCTTCCCTTCATTGTTGTTGTGCTGCTCTTTGTAGCTGTGTGCTGCCAAGGCTTCCCTCTGCTCTTTGTGTGCTGCTGATCTGTCCCTCTGTGCGCCGTAAAGCTGCAGTCCGTCACTGTGTTTCTGTCCTGTGTGCTGCCATGCGATTGCAGTCACAGATCTTGTTTAGTATCCTGCTTTATTTGCTGCTGTATTTGTGTGTTACAATAAGTCAGTCTCCTCCTGATGTGTTCGTTTTGTGACAAATGTGAGCTTTAGTAGTGACGTTTTTGTACAAGAAGGGCTGAGTGGAAAGAATGTCATATTTCTTATTTTAAAAAAGGGAGACAGCTCATCTAGAATCTGAGATTACATTTAATATAATAAGTTATAATATTAACTAGGCATGTGTTATAGAAAACAGTGACATTTTTATGCCATTTTCACTATTTTCTGACAGATTATAGACCATGATTAATAGATTAATCAAACAAATAATCAAAAAAGAAAATAAATATATCAGAGTGATGTAAAATATGATTAACTAGAGTAAAAAAAAAATAAGGGTACTAATTAACTAAAGAATAACCAAAGTGCAGGGTCTAGATGACCAATCCAATCCCACACAGGCCTTAAAGGTGGTGATTCAAATCTTAAAATCTACTCTCATTAGATCTTGTAAGGAGTCTTGAATTGATGGTAATTACAATGGTAGAGACAATGACTGGCCCTGCTAACTTAGTCATGTTAATGTCGGGTTTAATCTGTTTCATTAGAACTCAGCTCACACTGGAATAAAATTTATCAAAAATTAATAAATTGTAAATCCAAACTGTTAACAGCAGGATGAAGGAACGAAGGAGGAGGTAAAGCTCAGCACTCAGCCTCCTTTATTACCTTCCTCCTCTCCTCTATTGATCAACACCAGCCTCTGATTTATAGCTTGCTGCTGCAAAGCCTGCTGGGTAATTACTAAGGCTGAAAAGAGACGGGAGAGTTAATGTGGGGGATGGGGGCTGGCGCTCACGTAGACACATACGGGTGTTGTGCACGCTTTCTTTAAAAATAGACACACAAATTTACAGACTTGCTGTTCACACATACTAACACACACTAGTTTACTACACACATACACACTGCTACTCTAGAGCACGGAGTGTGTACCATGTCTCTGCAGAGAGGAGCCACTAATGTTCAGCATATATCATATCCTCTACATATCAATGTATGTAAATCAATGAAGTAATATAGTGTCCCCCGGAGATATTGAATTACCCCAGACTGTAGAAGCCACATTCATTTTCCATGTTGATATACAGCACCGGTGCAGCTGAGGGTAAATTGCTGTTTTGATAATCAGATTAAAGTCAAATCTTTGTTGTTTGAGCTGAACGCGTTCTGATCAGAAAGTTAACTTTGGTGAAATCTGCAGCGATCTGTCAGTCAGTGGAGCTGAGCTTGTGCCTGACTCATATACAGCATGGCTGTGAAATCCCGTACACAAAACGATGCTTGCACAAGGCTGCATCATTGTGTGTTCGTAGCTGTTTGTTCTGTATGAAAGTGAGCTTGTGTGTGCGCGTGTTCCTGCGTGTATGTCTGTTTTCTGCTTGTTTATCCTGGTATGCTGTTGTGACCTTCCCTCTATGCAGTAACTCACCTGACGTCAGAGCAGCTCTGTTTTTTGGGTTTTTTTTCCCCGTGCTGCTGGCTGACTGACACCCTCCCTCTTCTGTGTCCTCCAGTGAACAGCCTGGCCCGGTCCAAGTACTGCTGACGCCCAGTCAGGAGGAGGAAGAGGACCAGGCAACGCCCAACCAGGACGCTGCTCTGGGCCCGGACCCGCCCCCTCCACCCTATCGGCCCGCTCCCCCTCGACCCACGCTCACCCTCAGCATCCCTCACCCTTGCGCCCCTTCCAGCCAAGGGGAGGAGGAAGAGGGTGGACGCATGGGGAGGAGAGGGGAGGAAGGTGAGGATGGGAGGGAGGGGACGGGGGTGAGGCTGTGCGAGTTGCTGCAGGCAGGGGGGGTGAGTGTCAGACCTTTGGGGAAGCACTTAGCCATCTCTCTGCCCTCGCTTCCTCTGCGTCTCTGGGATACACACACCACACACACTGCACACTCCACACACCTTGAACCCACACACACACACCCTCCCCCTCCGTCCTCTACTCCTCCCCCATCTTCCCCTCTGGAAGCCTCCGGGCAAAGGAAACCTCTCACGCCTCTCTGGCAGCCACCCCAGCCCCACTCCCCTACCGGCGCTACTCAACATTGGCCGGGGCACGGAGCTGCCGCCGACAGTGGCACACGCCATTGGTCCTCCTGGAGTTTGGACCGCCCCGACGCCGTGGTGACACCATATGACACGCCCCCAGACCGCTGCGTTCCCATCAGGCCGCAGGCGTCCAGTCAGCACTACAGCTACAGTTGCCAGTCTTCTCCAGGGCACTACAGCTCCCAGCATGCCCCAGGGCAACACAGTGATCCCTGCTGTGACCGTGAAGAGGCTGAGCTGACTGAGCTTGACTCCCTTTACCAGGCCAGTCTGCTGGCTGGAAAGACAGGTACACACACACACACACACACGCACACACACTCATGCACACATACTCATGCACAAAACCATCTTCAAAAAAGGGAAATATTTAACCTGACTTACATTTATTACAATGGCATGCATCATCGTAGAGACTGTAATGGATTAATCAATTAGTCATCAACAATTTTGATAATCAATGACAATCAAGCACTACCATCCCTTTCTGACATCATTAATAGATAATGTCTTATAGCAATAAAACAAGAACATTATTGATGGTTACCCTGAGCTCTGAGCACTTGGGAACACAAGCTTTGCAGATTTCATAGACTTAATTATTAATCAATAAAATAAGCTACAGATTAATTGATAATGAATATAATGAATAGTTGCAGTCCTAAAGTACTGTATAGTCAATTACAGTAGAAATTCAAATTAATGTTCAGTATATTGTTATGTTTGAGTGAATGATGGCAGATTGTATTTAAAACCATTTTTAGAATCGAGCTACAATGATGAATCGATTTGTTTCCAACTATTAAATGAATTTCCAACTATTTTGATAATCAATTCATTATTTTGTGTGACTTTAAGAAAAAAATATCCAAATTCTTCTTTCAAGTTCTTTTATCTTTTAAAACAAACTAAAAACCACAGCTGCAAAAAGAGCTTCAGAGAATTTAGACCATTCAAGTTCTGGGAAAACATTTTGACGTCTCTTTGTTAAGTTTAACTGGCAGTTTCATTCTGACAGAGAAAGTCTATTATTCCCTGTTAAACTAAAAAAACTAACTTGTATGCTAACTGCAAAACAGTATACCATAAAGATATATAGTATATACTGTATACAATTACTATGTAGAATGGAATTTGGACACTGCACAACAGGATTTGCGAGGTTGCAGGTTATTTTTTTATGTGGATTTTACACATTTCAATGTTTTTTCTGTCCCTTAAGAGGCCTTCTGGTTTGCTTTCACATTACTTTACAAAATCACAGAAGAACTTTATATTCAATTCTAACCAAAATCCAAAAGTTTTCAAAGAAAAATGATGGAAAAATGCTTATAAATTGATGCATCAGACATAGAGATTTTTTAATTTGCTGACATGGTGCAGCCATAAAAAATGGCATCTTATGTTTGTTAACAACACAACAGTTAACTCAATAAGAGTGATATATTGGTTCAGTGAAGGCCTGGAACAGAATTTATATTGAATATATAAATTATGTTGTCAAAACGTGTGGGACAAAGTGATTTACCTACACTATAGTATCTAGGAGTAAATTTAAGAAGATGTGGAACATGAGCATCCACTTAAATATAACATGTTTTAGATCCTTGTATGTGTGTGTTTTGACCTCCAGCCCTTGCCTGTGTGTGTTTTCAGGCTGCAGTCCGTCAGAGAGGCTCATATCCAGGGTGGGAGGGCAGGTTCGCTCCAAGACCCCCAACGCAGACATGGAGAGGAGTGTGTATGGGGCGGACTGCACCAGCACCCCCACCTACCTCAACAAGGTAACATCTACGTAGTCTTTCTGACAGAATCCCCTCACATGTTGGCAGGTCGTCGCTTGGTTCCATTTCCAGCGTCTGACAGACATTTTCTCCCCGTGCAGCCAATGATGTTGCGGGATCTGCGTTTAGGGGTGGAGCCTGACGATGGGGAAAACCTGAGGCGAATTGGACGCAGCCTGAGCGGCACAGTAGTGACCCCGCGCCGCAGCCGCCTGACTGCAACCCGCAGCTTTGTGAGTGTGACTTCCTGTGCTCTGCTGCCTCCCTGTGGCTGTGCTATTAAACTGCATCTGCCTGATGTCCCGCCGCGGCACTTTACACATTGCTTTTCCCTGTGCTCTTCTCCCCCCCCGCTGTTTGTCTCGTTTCTTCCTTTTGTCCTGCTTTTTTCGATTTCCAATCTGTCGTCCTCTCTCTCCCTCTGCTTCTCTTTCCTTCTCTGTCCTCTTTCTCTCTCAAAGGTGAAGCAGGCTGATGTCAGTGCCTCTCCTTGCTTACTTCCTCTCTTCTGAGTCCCTGTTGCTATTGCACCACTATCATCTCCTCCATCCTCCTCATCACCAACACCTCCTCATCACCACCTCCCTCCACCGCTTCACAGGTAAACACTGCGCTGAGCTCATATGACGTTGCACTTGTAATCTTTGAAGGAAAATACCTCTCATCTGCTTATGACTGGTAAGAGAGTACACGCTTCCTTGGTTGAGCTACTTTTAGTGCCAGATGAGTAGTCATTTTTCAATAAGGTTAGAATAGCAAAGTAACTGTCTTTTCTTGATATTCTATTACATTTTTGGTAAACATTTCACTTTCTGGCAAACCAGACTCATCTGGCACAAAAGTAGGCTAAGCCCTTATTTGCACGTATCTAGATCCTGGTGATGTGCACTGGTTTGTAATAACTGTGGGGAAAATCACCAACGTTTTGAACCCAATTCCCCACACCAGATGATAAAGACGATGTTTTCTTTTAAATCTTATAAAAAATACATATTTCCTTCTCACTCAAGGTGATAAAATATTCAAAATGCAATATAAGCTATTATTTTTCTTGAAGGACAGAATAACCGTGTAATTTTACTTGACTTATTTCCAACTTTTGAAGCTTTATTCTGTACCAAAATGACACATAGAATAACTACAGACCTGTGTGGTTTGTTCGTGTCATTTAAGGTCTCACTTTTTAGAGACTTTTTACAGTCTTTACAGTTTTTACACTTCTTCACTTTCAGAGTGCTAAAATCACACCTTACTGTGAGCTGAGGCTAATGCGTATTGATCTGAAATATGTTGTCCTTTGCCAATATTCTCTCCAGTAGAAAAACTTTTTAATACTTATTATTACAAAGTATTCAACAGCCCTAAACAACAGCTTAGAACAAACAGCTCTAACCTTAATGAAATTACAGTATGAATATCACTGAATATGTCAGTTTGCTTTAACTCTTTAGAGGATCCACTGACAGCAGACATATTGTTTCAGAATCGATATGCAAGATATCAAACTGAAACTCTTTATTAGGTTGGTCTGAAAGTTGAAAAGCAAGTAGATATTGACCCTTAAAACCTGACAGCCATCTTTTTGTTTTGTAAAATACAATTTTCGGTCTTTTCCATTATTGGGTAAAAATAACTAAAACATCTTCACACCTCAAATGCATCCCTCCTTTAATGAAATTCATATTTGTAATCAACAACAACTTAAACAATTATTAAAAATACTGAAGGTAGAATATTGTTGCACACATGTTGCTGCAGTTGATTCTGGGAAGTTTTCTCTTTTTATGTGTTTACCTCTGTTCAATTCCACATCACTTTACTAATTCACAGAACTTTATATTCATTTCTTTCTAAATTTAGAAGTTCTGAACATAAATTAGATGAAAATGCGTATAATGTTATTAGAATATTTAATTAGTCAATTAGTCAATTTGAATTTGAAATGAAAATGGCACTTTGTGTTAGAACAGTTTACTCAATAACTGTGACGTTTTGTTTCAATGAAGGAACAGAAGATTAGATTCACTATATAATTTATGTTGATCATGTGTGACAGTATGTTTCGCCTCAAAGATAGATTTATGTGGAACATGGAGAACATCAGGATTCAAATAGTTAAAGAGGTTCCACCAAACAGCACATGACCTGTTACTTAGGCATCAGTATGTTTGTGATTTGACCTTCTCTGAAAGGCTCAGGATGGTACTCTTTAAACACATCTCTGAACCTTTGTGGATAGCTCAAACAGTTTGTGATCGATTTCACCGTTTAACCCTTAAACCTCTCTCAAAATGGCTGAATTTGAGCTACACCTTCATTCTAATCTGACCTGTTGTTCCTTCTTCTTGTCCAGGAGCTGTCGGGCGGTGCGGGGAGTTTCTGGCTGTGTCTGACGGGGGTCAAGCTGTCTTCCGACCAGAGTCCTGCTCTGTTTCACTAATGTCTCACCGCGTTCCACCTCCACGTGGGGCAGCAGGGCCGAGGTCTTCGACGGGGCCTCGCCTTGACGGACCGGGAATTGGCTCAGGAGGATCAAACTCAAACTCCTATCCTGTTCCTCCTCCTTCTCCCTCAAACAACATGCACATGCAAACACATGCACGCACACATGCACATCTGCACTGACGTAGAGCCTCCCTCAGCGCCTGCAGCACCCTGCTTAGCCCCTCCTTGCCTTCCTCCCTCCCTC